CGGCGTCATTGAAGTAACACACTCTCCACACCCTTGCCGCGACGGCGATACTTGTACGTGTATACTCTCTTTTTCAAAGGTGATTTCTCGCGGTTTGCAACACTGCGACTGGCCGGACTTCGTTGCGATGGGGGTCCATTTTTCGTTAGAGTGTTAGAGGGTGGATGGGGACGGTACTCAGCGTCACTACTAGATCTAGACAACTCATCTTCAGGTTCCAGTGCTCGATATTCTGCGGCATTTGGCGTAGCTAGAGCATCTTCTTCTTGCAGTTCGGGTGGTGAATATTCTGCTGCATTTGGGGTAGCTGGAGCTACTTCTGGGTAGGAGGGGGGAGGGAGGGGAGGGAGGGGAGGGAGATGCGATGCGGCGGGAGCGAGGGGGAGAGGAAGGGGGAGAGGAGGGGGGAGAGGAGAGGGGAGAGGAGGGGGCAGAGGAGGGGGCGATGCGGGCGGGGTCGAAGCAAATGGAGCGGGTGGCATGAGGAGCAACTTTGGTGCACAATGGGATGGCACGTGGACCGCATGGACATTTCGGCCTATCATGTGCATTGTACGGTGTACTGTACTTGTTACGTATGGCACTGGGTACTACTGTACCGTTGGTACTGTACATTGTGCATTTGTGGCACAATGTGGCAAGGTGCAGTTTTGCCACAGACCTCCTGTTTTATTATATTATATTAATGCCAGGTGTCCTCCACAAAAGAGGTGTTCATGTGCAACCTCAAAAAAAATAAAAATTCAGCGCTAAACCAATACTGTACCCTTGGTACTGCCTCTCTGGTAGAAACATCATGCCGTAACTTTTTACCTTGAACTCTGTCCTTACCCCTCGCCATGGGAGAGGACTTGACACTACTCTCCAACTGCATCACCCCGTAAGGACATTGCTCAACCTGCACTATTGGCGGACGCGCAGGCGCTGCGGAGCATCAAAACATCGCTCTAGTCCCTTTACACACACCTTTGATTTACTGTAGGCATGCAATTTCACAGACACGACCCATTCTATGCGTTACCTTTCCATCTTACGCTTTGGCCGGTTAAGGGCCGTTTGCATGATGGGAAGGCCCCCACCTCAGAGCAACCTTTTAGAGCCTGATTCACTTCGTCACCATCTGCGGCGCGCCGCGCCAACTAAAGCCAAAAATCATTATTTTTGTTGTTTAAATACAGTGTGATTGGCCCAATCGAGCAGAATTTAGCCGCTGACAACGTGGCCGAGTGGTTAAGGCGATGGACTGCTAATCCATTTCCCTAGGGAGCGAGAGTTCGAATCTCTCCGTTGTCGTGTCAATCTTCTTTTGCACCCCCTCGGCAAATGCACCCCCCTTTTGTTGCTCTCCTCCTCGCACAAAAAGTGGAGAGACCTTGTCCTGAAACGAGCGTAGCATCCAATCCCTCATTCTTTCCCACCCACTTTTTCACCAACACACACCATCCACCGACAACAATCTTCTTTTTGAATGCTCCCCATTACCTTGGCAACGACATGTAATGTAGCGACTAAAGGGGAGTGTTTGGCATCAGGACCACACGCCCTTAAACTGCGCGCACCGTCGCCCTTTCAAAACACTTGTTCAAGTTTTATAAAAATCACTTTCACGGACCAGTACACGTGTACCTACAATGAATTTCCCCTCCATATCGTCCTTGCACCGCCCCCATGCTTCCTGTCTACTACAGCACGTACCTCAGTGAAGACCACGTCAACCCAAACATCTTCCGCCGCCCCCGTTCCCCTTCGTCCCCCTACACCTCCAGCCCTTTCAGGGACGCTTTATCCAGTCTAGCAATCTCGAAATATTCTGTGATAGCATTCACCGCCTTGTTGTAATGTTCCCTGCCGTCCTCTCGCCCCGCCGCCGTTTTCACCTTCCCCATCTCCGCGTAGAACGCCTCCACGCACTTGAGCAAGTCCCGGCTGCGCTCGCCGAGATAGTTGTCCGAGAAGCTCGTCGCGTATATCGACAGCGCCCGTCGGAACTTGATATCGAACAACCTGCCGTCCACGATGTCAGCGATCCCGGCAGCGTCCGTCCCGACCAGCGTCCCGATCGTTCGCGTCTGCTCTACGCCCGCCACGATGCGCGGGAAGTACCGCTCGTACGACCGCTTCGCCGCGATGTATGTGTGGTCCGCCAGCGCCGGCGCACCGGAGAAGAGCGCCCCCAACGCCCCGCCTCCCGTCGCTTGGAGAAGCGCCCGTCGAGACACCTCACTTCCAAACCTCATCGTCCACACTCTCGCTTGCCGTTTCGGTTGCCGCCCGCATTGCGTTGAAGCTCCCCCGAGTGCTCTCCTTCCCACAGCAGCTCCGGCAAAAGACGACGAGACGAAGGCCATGATTGGACTTGGCATGATTGGACTGAGATGAAGGGGTGAGGCAGTGCAAACGAGCCAGCAGCGGCTCAATGATGGGAGGGTGGCGAGGTACCCTTGGGTATCTCGAATGGAATTAAAAAATAGGCTTTAAATTTACGGCTACAGTAGCTGCAAATCTTTTTTGAGATTCACTGTCGTTTGTGGCTGAGAACGGCCTGCTTTGTAACCCTTGCTACATTCAGGAACCGCGCCCCCGGGGGCAGAGGTCCTTGTAACAATCCAGGGTCCGGCTGCACGCCTGACCAAAATTCGTTAGACGGCGCGTGTTCCGTGTCGAAAGCGCGTCCTGCAAAATGGCACACCTTGGAGCGTCTACCAAAACAAGGCAGTGCGTCGATGGAAGTTGCGCGTTTGCATCTCCTTGAGCCGCGACACGGCACGGTCGAAGGCAAACGCCTCGTCCTCGCCCGTGTACAGCGTGGTGGACCCAAGGGCCCTATTCCCCGCGCCAACGCCCTCCTTGGCAACCTCTGTCTCAAACTGGGTGCCCTCCGCGAGCGAGGCGTCGGGCTTAGTGACATCAACCTTGGAGAACATGTCATCCAAGCTCTCGGCCTCGGTGCGCATGACGATGCGCACCTTCTCCTCATAGCACACATCGATCAAGGTGATGAACCTACGGGCCAAGTTTCTCGTGTCGGAGGTGAAAATGGGGATGACGTCCGTGATGAAGAGGGTGCGCAGCCCCTCGGCGAGCGCGCGGAAGTCGCTGGCGCCCACCGCCGCCTCAATAAGTTCAGCGGCCGTCAGCTGTGCGGCCTCCTTACTCGGCGACGCGCGGCGCAGCGTGAACTCACGGCCGTACGCGACGGGCAGGACGCGGGTCACGACGTCGTCCCAGTCGGTGCCGGTCTCCGCGCGCCACAGGTCGTGCAGGTCCCTTTCCGGGGCGCCGCTGGGGAGGTAGTAGCGGCGGTCTGAAGCATCGGCGCTGGACAGCACCTGGCGATAGTCGGTGTCAGAATCCAGCTTCATGAGCTGGCATCGGTCGTGCAGCAAGTCCAAAAACGGGCGGAAGTCCGCGTCCAGCAGCTGCGAGCGGTTCAAGTCCTGCGGGGCGCGGTTCGCCGTGAAGCAGACGATGGTGCCCGACTTCATGAGGCGCGTCATGATGCCGTGCATGAGGCGTGCATCCGCGACGTCGGCCATCTGAAACTCGTCAAAGCACAGCAAGCCGCCGCCAGTATCAGCAGCATTTCGCCTCCCCAGCCTTAGAGCGACGACAGCGTCCAGCGGGTGAAAGACGTTAGCCGCGGCGCGCTCGGCCGGAGACATGAGGTCGTACTTGTGCATCATCTCGTACACCGAGATCATAAAACTATGGTAATGCACGCGCTCCGCGGTAGCCATCTGGGCGTCTGCGCACGTGAAGACCATGTCCATGAGCAAGCTCTTCCCGCAGCCGACGTCGCCGTACAAATACACGCCCTCCGGCGGGGTGGGTGCGGCGATGGCCTGTGGCAGGCCGTAGTAGGCGTCCGGGAGTGCCTCTGGCGGGGCGTGGGGGTCGAGGCCTGCGGCGTTGTGCTTGAGGCGTCGCCACGCGCGGCGCAAGGGGGTCATGCGGGCGAGGGTGCGTCGCTCGTCCGCGACGGCGCGGGCGCGGCGGAGCTCCCACGCGGCCAGGGCGTCCGCGTGGGCGCGCATGTCGGAGTCGTACGCGGGGAGGTTGCGGATGAGCGCGTCCAGCGGTGGCAGGGCGGCGCGCTGCACGTCGTCCGCGAGCAGATGCCCCTTGGCCACCGCCGCAGCGTGCAAGGTCGAGGGCAGGCGCGCCAGCTGCGTGACTGAGGTGCGCATGGCGCCGTGGCGGACGGCCGCCGCACTCATCGCGGGCGCGGAGGCGGCGCGTTGGGGAGGCTGGGGGGACAGGGCCGCGGCCGGGAGAGGGTTCGGCGGGGGCCCGGGGCGGTGAGGTGCGTGCAGGGGGGTGGGGGAGGGGCGGGGGGGGAGGGGGAGAGAGGAGGGGCGGGCGACGTGTTGTAAAGCATGCGATAGGGATGGGCGTAGTAATGATTTCTCCGCGGATGGATGCTCTTTCCGGGTGAAAGGCGGGGAGTAAGGTGCAGTCTAGACGCGAAGGGCGATGGTGATTGGCTGGTGACGAATCTGCTGAGATACTTTGGCATTTTCTGTAATGCGTACCGCAGTCGCCGCGGTTACTCCCGCTTCCACTTCACCCACATCCGTCATCGTCATCTCACACATTCTTGAATTATTTCATCACTTTCATCGTTTTTCAACTATTTCATCGCTTTTCATCGCTTTTCATCGCTTTCCGACAGCAAGAGGTTTCCAATCTTTTTGTCCCTTTTTTTGTGCCTAAAAGGGGGTGTGCATGTACACCCCCGATACTGTCGTAGTAAGGTATTCATATTCATACTGAGGAGTTTACTATTCATAGTAAGGTATTCATACTGAGGAGTTTTACTACTATCGGGGGAGTACATCCACATTCATAGTAAGGCACCCCCTTTTACGTCTTTCCCGCAAGAAAACGTGTCATTTGAGATGCTACAGGCAATCCCATTGGTAAGTCATTTGCCGTTACACGTGGGCTCTTATGAGCAATTCACGTGTTCATTTCTGGGAAAGACCAAGAAATGATCGTGTTAAGGTGTGAATTGAGTGAATCCAGACTACAGTACGACTTTCGTAAGCAAACCTGCTCTAACGCTTAAGCTCAAGTTTCTCGAAACCCTTCCATCTTATCCCATCTTCACGTATCCTTCAGCATCTTCTTTCCCAATGGCAGAAGTGCTCCCATCCAATGACTCCACCGAAGCACCAGGAGAACTCATAAGCGCCAACCAACCGCCCGCTTCAACAGAACTACCGGAAACTACCACACCTCTACAATCCGCAGGCAATAATGAGACACCAGCAGATGGTGCAGGCGCTAACGGCATCCTTACTCCAAAAACGCCACACGTTTATGTCGTGCGATCGACAGCACGTGGGAGAGGGAGAGGACGGGGAAGGCGAAGGGGTCGCGGAAGTGGCTCGATAATACGTGCCACCCGTAACATCCAAGTAAATGCGATAACGCCATGTGATGGATGGAGAATAAAAGCCGTAATGGAAGAAAGAATTCAAATGGACAACGTTTTCCTTTTAAATGCTCTAACGGAACGCGCTCGTTTATTCTGTCGATCAGCGTTGGATCAAATGCATACGGAGATGAATGTGAGACGTTTGGATCATTCTAGAGCAAGTCACATTGTGCTTCTATGTGACGAAGTGCTGCACAAATGTTTGGATTGGACGAATGAGAGCATTGTACTTAAACATCTGAGCATAAGTCCTCTTCGAATGTCCGACATGTACAGCTTTCTGGGTGTGTCTGTTTTCTCGCAATGCTCTGGTTTCAGCCTAGCTAAGAGCTTATTTTTTCTGAGCAAACTGGATTGTCCCGTTCCCACACTACAGCTGGTTCGGTTCATCAGTGCGAACATTCTCGCCTTTTCAGCCACCGGAAGAGGCGATCAAGGTGAGTCCGTTTGGAACTCGCAACGGGACCAAACCGTCCATTTGTCAGAGTTCGAGCAAGCACCTTATCGTATGTCCTGTAAAGTGTTCTTATCTCCTGGACACACGTTTGCGACTCTGGATGATGATCTATACGGCACACGGGCCATTGAAAATCAAGTCAAAACTTTAAGCTGACGCTTCTGTGGAACTACTAATCTATGCCGACTCGATAGCACGTCGCAAAAATGAAGAACCTGGCGGTGCTCACCAGAATGATACAACAATACAGGGAGAGGAAGCGGCATGGCTGCCTGAACTTTTCAAGAAGCGAAGGCGCAACAGAATCCAGTTCTTTAATAGCGACGATGGGATAAAGCTGAGACTAAACGTTCCCGGACACTGCCAAAAGCAGATGAAAAATGAGCGTTGGTGCTCTCTTTGCGGCATGAACTGCGTTTCGGATGGAGGATGTCGCGGTCACCGGTCATGTTTTAGATGCTCGCACTGTGATCTCCGTTTATGCGTACGTACTTATGCCAGATTCCGTAGGTCGTGTTGGGATGTATGGCACTCAAACAAGCGCCTAGAACCCCGACAAGAGTCGAGATCATCACGTAGCCGTTCACCATCAAGTCAGGGTGGCACATCCTGTCTGACAACGCTAACGGTGGTGCGCACCCGGCGCCGGCGTCGTCCTGTTGACTCTAAAGATCGATCTGCTAGGCTTCGGGCTCGTACAAGTTAGTTGTGGGAAAAAACAGGCATTTGTTTGTGCCTTCTTATGTACGATACATCGTACATAGCGAAAAAAGCATTACATTTGCGTGCCTCTAGACCCGATTTTTACCAGTAGAATTGATCGACATGTAGATGTCCTTCGGTAATGAAATCTTGCATACCGTTTCTTCACACGCCTTGGCGTTGCTCCGTGACCCCAGAACTGGGAACAAATGATGCCGGGCTGAACTCTGCGAGTGTGAACTTTAATGTACGATACATCGTACATAAAATAAAATATTAGGGATATGGATATACAATAGTGTTGTGTTTTCGCAAAAAACACATTGAATATTTATTGAAATTTTACACTCACACGCCGTACACGTGTATTGTACGACTACAGTACTGTACCCGCCGCCTCCTCATCTCCCACAATCTCCCTCTTCCCCTTTCCCTCCCGTATCCCCACTGCCGCATCCCCACTGCCGCATCCCCACTGCCGCATCCCCACTGCCGCATCCCCACTACTGCTCCCCAATCAGCCGCACGCCCGCGATGCCCAATTCCGCCGGCGCGCCGGCCTTCACCGCTGCCGCGCCGCTGCGCGCCGCCGCGCGCGCGCGGCGCCCCCCGGCGCGCCGGCGCGCGCCGGTGTCGTCACTGGGCGCGCCGTCGCGGCGCGCGCTGCTCGCGGCCGCGCTCACGCTCTCCCTGCCGCGCCGCGCGCGCGCCTACTCGTCGCCGTACCGCCCGGGCCAGAGGGGCGAGCCGGCCCTGCCGGACCGCCTGTACGAGGCCCAGGTGGCGCGCGTCGTCACCACGCCGTCCGGCCTGCAGTACTTCGACCTGGCGGTCGGCCCCGGCGCGGAGGCCCGCGCCGGCGACCTCGCCTCCGTCTACTACACCGCGCGGCTGCGCGGCCTCAACGGCATCAAGATACAGAGCTCGTACGACGACCCCGCCGCACCGTCCTCGCTGCTCCGTATCGGCGCCCCGGACGTCGTCCCCGGCGTTAGCGAGGCCCTCACCGGCATGCGCGTCGGCGGCAAGAGAAGGGCCGTCCTGCCCCCCGCTATCGCCTATAAATCCCCGGATATGAAGCCCGCAGTTACAGAGTTTTTTGCGAGGAGAAGACTGCTTAGCGTGCTGGAGACCCAGAGAGACGCTACTATCGTCTTCGAGTGAGTTGCCGACCGACACGATTGTTCTACGCTGCGTGCAGATGATGGCGAGGTCGGTATCAACATTCTGACTTGCGCTTTTTTATTCTTGTCCTTTTCCTCTCTTTCCTGCCTCCGATTCGTCGCGCCATGGCCAGTCTTGAACTCATCAGGGTCAAGTAGATCTGCGGCAAATCCTGTTGCGGTGCGACTCACACGACATGCTTTATTTGCGTGCAAAACGTCAGTCAGTTGCATCTACGCATCGCCTGAGCACACCGCGAGTTGCGAACAGTCCCAACCCGCTAGCACGACTGCACTTCGGCAATGTCATTTTTCAACACATCCGCAGAATAAACATACCCGAACCATCACCCACCATCCCAAATCCCGCGCTTCAAAACCCGTCATCGCTTCCCTTGATGCTCTTCGTAAAGTTCTTGCGATAGCTTGCATTGACCGCGAACAACACCGGCCACGCCAGCGCGAGCGGGATCCGGAACGACGACTGGTACGACGTCCGGTTGAAGCCGAGGTAGAACCGGTACGCGCCGAACAGCCATGCGGACAGCACCACCCAGTTGGGCAGCAAGGGCAGCAACCCCATCCGCATTGGCTTCGCCGCCACGCGCATCGGTCGCCGCGCGCACACCGGCCGGCGCGCCGGCAGCGGTCTTCGCAGTGAGAGCTTCCGTACGCATGCGGGCGCCCCTACGAAGGATGGCGTGCCGGGCAGCATTTCAGATCAACGTCGGCGTCGTGATGAGGGCGGGGCTGTTTCGGGATCCGCTGGGGAGAGATTTTGCGTGATGCAAGGTTTTCGCTGATGGTAGCCCTCTCGGAGTTTGGCGTGGGGCGCACCCGGTGAGTGAGAGATTCCGTACAAGAGCCTCAGCGGGAAATCGCAACAGAGGACCCCTCGTGCAGTGAAACATGTCGGCAGTGCGGAGCTGCACGACCAGTGGCGAGGCATTCTTCGGCGGAGCCGAGGTGCAAAGAGAGTCACTGTAATGAGCTGATAGCGTAAACTGTAAGCATCATCTAGGAAGTTCCTGGGGCATTATTATTGCATGGTTCCTAGCTTGAAGTAAAAATAAAAAAAACTGTTTTATGTGACATTGAATTGCAAAAGTATTAGAGTTTTGAGAGACATGAGCCGTGCCTGCTACTGTAATAAGGATTTTGTCCCGATTCGCCCCAGAAGAAAGTGGCTTGTCGAAGACCAAGAACTTGCGGAGACTACTGAGAAGCAATGTCGTGAACAGATATATCTGCAATCGTTAATTTGAATGTGCCATAACAGTGAATTGGGGAAAAAGTTTGAAAGATAAAAATCACTTGAGGCTTGTTCTTAAGTATAGAGTCAGAAAGGTTCAGCAGTGGTGAGTCAGCATAGACCAGTCGTGTGTCTGTCGGTAATGTCTATCGGACTGTTAGTCCTCATGTGAGGACAATAGTTATTTTTATTTTTTCTGGACAAAGCAAAATGCGACTTTTGGTGTTTTACATTCTAAATGTGAAGTAAGGACCTTGTTTCTTTTGAAAACATTTACGTGCACTAAAGAGTCGGTTTCTGCTAGAATCGATAAGCAAGGTTACCTGCGGTGATGGCCTTCTACTTGCAAAAAACAAAAGTCAAGTCGCATTTTGCCTTGTTCAGAAAATGAAAACATGATGTTGGCAGCAACAACCATCATGAAAACATAAAATGTGATTTTACATTCTATGTTTTCATGATGGTGTTGCAGCCAGCAGCACGTGTCACTATCAAACACGCGACGACGACAGCGAAAGTAACGTCCATCGATTCTGAAGAGGAACCAGTTGCGGCTCTTTTAGTGCTTCGTTTCGTAATTTACAGAGATCAGCAGCGCTTGCCTATGTGAGAAATCCCTGCCTGTGCAACACCTGGAGAGCCCGCGAGGGGCAAAGTCGGGTCCGACTATAGGGACCAATATGACAAACACCTAAGCACGCGGTGCAGGACGAAACCGTCCTTGAAGGTTATTCCCCCGTCGCCGTGTAAGCCGGCGAGAGTCGCTGGCGGGCGACGGCGGACATTTAATTACGGTTACTGAACTGCGCGGGGAAAATGCTGAGGCCCGGCAGGTGAGAATCAACCTGATCAGTCTTCACTATTTTCACAGCCTAGTCATGAATTCCCAAGCGGACGCACTTCCCCGTGCACATGGATTTTTCCCCCTATCTGATGTAGTCGAGGGTGATCGGGTCGGTCTTATAGACCAACCCAACCAGTTCCGTCGTTACGGCGGCAGGTTAGCCTCAGCTTCCCGAGTCTGTGGGACCCCTGGGGAGGTCATCAAGTCCATCCAGTATAGGGTGGGTGCGAGGACCCTGGACCAGGGTTCCCTTAAGCACTTGCTAGCAGGTGCTGACGACGGGGACAGGACGTGGTCGGCGCGTTTTGAACTGAACGCCAACCACGCCAGGGAGCTGGAACAGCGCTACCGGCGCTACTACAATACCGGGCCAGGGTTTGCAGACGCGGACCTGACAGCTGTCATCGCGAGGTTGGCAGCGGGTATGGCTTACTACTCGTTACACGGGAACCTGACGACGGGGGTGCTACGTAGTGGCAGGCCCCTCCACGTCCGGTCCCTAGAGGCGCGACAGGGCAACCTGCCGACGCCGGGGATGGTCTTCGTGCCTACGAGTGCGACCTTCGGCAGCGATAGCTCGTGGTACATAGCCCTGGTTAACGCCGTCAACGGTTGCGGCTCGGCGGTGCTGACGGACCACTTCCAGGTCAATCCCGAGACGGGAGCGGCCAGGATGTCCGCGGTCGCCAACGGGAAATTGGCTCACGGTTGTGCAAGTGACCTCCGCATCTTGTGCAACATGTACGCGGAGAGCGGTATTGAGGCCTTAGCAGCCTTCGCCATCTCCGTGGGCGTGAACCAGGTCCTGACGGTGGTCGCGCACACGGACGAGGGCGGCGCCATGCGCGACGTCCTGCGCGAGGGCTACTTCGCGACGCCTTACGGGGTCGTGTTCACGGATGGAGTTGACAGTTATGTCAACTTGCCGATCCCCCACTACCATTCGGCCAGCGGTGTGCAGACCTGGGTCGATTCGGTAGCACTGCGTACGGCAGCGGTGGTGTCCATCTCGGACCCCCTGTCCTACGTGAACGGCCGGGCCTACCCCACGATCCTACGCGCGGTGAAGGACCCGGTCCCTGCTACCGAAGGTGAGGACGGCCACGTCCCGACCATAGAGGTTGACGTTGACCAACGTCGGCGTCTCGCGGCTGAGATCGGGCCGTTCTCAGTTCGCTTCGCCGATAGCCTCGGGATAAATATCCTAGGCAGCTCGGGAGGGAGTGAGGTCGTGGCGGCCATCGTTAGGCGGCAAGCACTAAGCCTTGCCGCCAAACCGGGTTACCACCGCCACTTCGACCACGCGCTACTGGCGCCATTCCACTGGGTGGAGCCGACCTCGCTTTTTACTGAGGTCGAGAACTGCCCCGCGAACAACGCAGGCTTCGGCGCGTTGTGCGGCACTCGCACTAAAGTCGAACTGCTCGCTTGGCCGGATGCCAAGATATTGAGCGACCGCGGACACCGCATGTACATGCAGTATTCGCACAGGTCCGCTCGTACGGTGCCAGCCCTGGTTCATATGACGCACCATATCGACGGAGGGCTGGCAGCCGTGGCCCCCTACCAAGTGGAGGCCAAGGAGATCGTCCTGGCCGGAAACGGACAAGGGCCTGTGCCGAACCCGGCCATGCCCGACGGGCTAGAGGAGCGGTGGGAAGATGAACAGCGAGTCTGGTCCATCGACAACTACATGTGGGCGCACGGAGCGTCGCACATTCCTAGCCCGGCCGAGTTCATGGTCAGCTCAGGCGACATCACAGTCCGAATCCAGAAGGCGGAGGAACTAGACCTGGACAACCTGGTAGAGTACAGGGTTGTTCTGCCGGTAGACATGTCCGGCACGGTCACCGTCACTTACTCATGCAGCGCCCCGCGGTTCTACGGGTTCATACGCGGGTTCGCGGAGAACATGAACCTTCGCCGCGAGCGCAACAGGGGGACGTATCCACATGTTTCACTAGAGCACCCGCTGATCGCGTGTTGATAGTGACACGTGCTGCTGGCTGCAACACCATCATGAAAACATAGAATGTAAAATCTGCAGTAGAACGGGTTCAGTGGTGCGTAGGGTGAAGGGGCGGACGGCACGGAAGGGACGAAAGTATCCGTTCTAGCTCGTGCGCAGCAGGGGCAAACGGAAGGATAGGCAAAATTATAGGGTACCCAGACCCACGGGGGCTCCGTCCGTCTCCTCTCCGACTGCCCCCGGAATTGTAGCTTTTATCAGGACACTTGGTCCTCGTCCAAGTGGGTCTCGCGAGCTCCAGCGAGCTCGCCGGCGCCGGGTGATCAGGCATAAAATACAGTAATTATTTCGGTCCCTCCTGATAATTCTATCCGGCTGTCGCGACACATCACACACATACCCCGTCGGCTAACGGAACTTGCCATCCCTTCAGTGAGATTCCGCGGCCAAGTCAAGCGACCCGAGCCCTCCTCTGTCTCGATATCGCGTCAAAGTCATCGTCTCGCGACTCTTCTCGTCCCCAAAATCGCAAATCCACCGGTTTTTTTCGTTCCATTCCACACCTTCCTGTTTGCCTTGGACCTTACGTGACTTGCACCTGACACACTCTACCCGGCTCCTGCATTCCATACGCGCGTTCGGTTCGTTCCCAGTCTTCTACAGCGCACCCCATTCCACCAGCCTGATCCGCAACCCGTATATAAGCGCTTTCGGGCCGAGGTACGTGACGGCTTTTGGAATGGTGGTGTCGCTGGGGATGGAATTAGAGGATGAGCATGATTACAGCGTACACTCCCTGACGTGGTGCAATGATGAAGCCCTAGTCAGGCATGAGGGGGGCACACGGCGTGCGTCTGCGATGGATCTACTGTTCAGCTTGGTCTTGCCCTGGGATGGTATGGAAGCGCTGATTTGCTGGCTGAAGGATCTGGAGGGGGCGACCATGGACGCTGGCACAATCATTCGAATGGGATTCGACGAAGACGAAGACGGCGCATCCGACGATGCTGATTACACAATCAAGCGGGTCGTATTGGCTTCTGGAAAGAAGCATGGCTGGAATGCATCAACATATTATGCGTCGGCAGTGAAGCATGGCGGCGCAGACACATTTTGGCCAATTCGCTTTCACACAATCGAAAGCTTTCAGGTCCCCTCTCGCGATACTGATGGATGCAATAGCTCATGTTCCACAGTTTTGTCTTGCGATTCCACTTCGTCACCGCAATACGTCCTAGATTCCTCATCTCGCGCTAAACGTCAGTGGCTATTGAATGTAGATGAGTTCTGTGTCCGGAACCCGGATACGTTTTATTCCGTGAGCGCCTCCGGAATTCGGGGACCATCATTGTTAGCACAG